GAGTGGCGGGGTGGCCGGGTCTGGCAAGCGAGGGGCAGCAAGAAAAAGAAACGAACACTCGAGGGTTCCGCGGAGTGCTCGCAACGCTCGGAACTTCGAGGAGCTTTCGGCCAGGGCAAGAATAGAAAAGAGCTAACGCGAACAGCACGAGAGCAGGCGTTGAATTTCCTCTTCCCGTTTCCTTCCCTTTTGCAACCTGCTCTCACTATCTTTAGCTGCTATTCTGCTCCATTTCGGATTTACATATCTCCGTATTCTCAGAATCCCATATACTTTTATATCCCATATTCTATTCGGTTTCTTACAGTCTTATAGCTCTGTAAATCTTCATCTCTAGATTCACAGATTTCTAGACTCTCCTTAGGTCTTCATATCCGTAGATATTCCTATATTTACATATACACCTATGTACTCAAATCTCCACATCCTCATATCCTCCTATTTTTGGATCTCCAAATATTTCTATACCCACAAATATCCATACCTTCCATATATCAATGTCCATATCCTCATATCTTCCAGTCCTCATATTCATCTATCCTTATGTAAGAAACTAGTCCATTCTCGCCTATCAAACAACAAGTAGAATCGAATATCAACCATTAACCACTGTAACGTACAATAAAAGCGTCAATATCAATAAAGAGTAGTTTTGTTTCTAATATCGATGCGAGAGTTTCGTCGTGTGACAGTTCGAAGAACGAGGGTAAACATTCATATTTTTACGAGTCGATCTTCATATCGGAATCGTACGAGAACTAAGTAAATACCGTACCTTCCTGCTCACCGTTATGATGTGTATTAATCGAGCAAGATAAATATTGTGCTCCCTTATGTTGTTTCCCCTGTTCATCGAGCGGCGAAAATAACGTGTTTTTGCAACTTCTGCAAAACAACCTGCACGGTTGCTTTCAACGTTGCTACTTTGCGCTTTAATTGTAGTTTATTTCCATCGGTTTTTCTTCCCTTCGATAACGCGATTGATTCGTTAGGGCGCGAATATGTGATTACCAGCGGTTTAATTCCCTGCTTCATACGCCTCTTCAATTGCTGTGTCATTCGTACAATTTGCTTCTATTTCATTTAATTTGTTTCATAATTGTGGTGTTATTCCGCTATTAAATTTGTTATAGGTACTTTGTGTAGGTACTTTGGTTCAATATCTATCGGAATCCCGTGCCAAAAAGTAATGCAAGTATAGTTTGAAATTGGAATTTGGAGAAAAGAACCCAATATATCACTGTACCCTTCAAGTACAAACCTGAAAAATTGATTGTTTTTAATCGAAATAAAAAATCTCCCTTAATCTTCAACATTGGTTCAGCAGGTGTTTTGACGCATCTCGATCGCCAAGTTTGTTAAAATCGATTCTATCTGATCGGGACCATTCGACTGATCGAGTGTGGTTGAGAGGCTTAACTCGAAGCCACGCTAATCGAATCCACTTAAGAAGAGTGGAATGGCGAGAAATCGTTTCAACGTCCTGGCAGTTGTTCGATCGAGCTCGAGGATCAATTCAATCAAGAAAAGAAGAAGTCGAAGGTGTCGCGAACCTCCCAAAGGGGATGAACTTTGGGGGCACGTTTACATTGTGTTTGAAGCAGGGACAGACGAGCGTTTATCTCGCCACAAACGCAACAAAGGCACGTAATGAGAACATGTGTTGGATGCAGGAAGCTTCATTAGCGAACCTGTTCCTGTCCGCGGGGTCCATTGTGTGACCTAACTGTCTCTGCCGATACCGTGATGCGTCGCGTTGCGTTCTGTTCCGCGTGATTCTTTGCCTCTGAGCTTATATTGCCGCCGGGTATTAGTTACCGGCAGTAAACATGAATTCCTAATTGCGGAAATGGCCGCGCTGGTGACCTGGCAATCAGAATGCTTCGAACGTCGCGCAGAATAATGTGTGTGCATCGGGGGACGCTTTGACTGACCGCCAATTCTAGACTGACTTTAATACCAATCATCCCTTTTGCATCTTTTACTTGTGTGCCACAATACATATATTACATATGAAAAGTTACATATCTCTACACATACGTACATTTTTATCTTATCTTCTAGAGCCTCTTATCTTCCTATCTTACCAAAAATGAAATATGCACCATAACTAAAAATATGTAATATACAGTATTATATGCAAACATACAAAAATATTCCCCACATTGTTTAGAAAAAATTTAATCACATGCTAGCATAACCGTGTTTTGTTAATCTGACCACATTAAAGTTATTGAATTTTAAAGATTTGTTCTTTTACAGTTTACGGCGGGGTCCGGGGGCTAACGTGCAGGACGCCAGTGGATATTCAGCCCTTCATCATGCAGCTTTGAACGGTCACAAGTACGTTTGAAACAATATTTCTTCATTCTTTTGACAAAGCCATGTTTCATCGTTATTTCCATACCATCGTGTCCCATATCGTCGTTGTGTGGAAATCTGATCGATAACGACGAAACTTTCTTAACTCGAGTTTCTCATTAATATTCCTTTCGATCGACGATTAATCGATGTCGCGCACATTCTGACGATAATTTGGGGAAACGCTTTTATCCTCAGGGAGGTGGTAAAGTTATTGCTCCAATATGAGGCTTCCACTAACGTCGTCGACGCTAAAGGCTCTTCGCCGCTTCATTTGGCAGCTTGGGCGGGCGACGCTGAAATCGTGCGGTTAATTCTTACCCAAGGACCTTCGGTACCTAAAGTGAATCTTACGGTCAGTAAACTTGTACCTCTTTATATTTTTTTTTATACTTTGTTTAGAAAAAAGAAGTTGCGCGATAACGTTCACCTTACTGTCAAATTGATCCTTCGTTGCAGTGATCTTTTGTTCAGTAAAGTACGAAGTTTACTCAGCATGAAGTTCATCAACATTTTTATTTTATATATAATACTTGTTTTGCAAAAATATTATTGCTGACTAGATGACTAGATTAATTTTGTCATCAGGACATACTATCACTTCACTAAGCTTTCTGCAATGTTCAGAACAAGACGTCGATTATGTCCTACGAAAAGTTTCAGGGAGTGTACGTCCAAATTAGGAAGCTTAGAATGTTCAAATTTTCAAAGTCAGAAATTCAGAAGTTCACGAATGTAGAAACTTTCAAAAAGTCAACCTGCAACTATGTTATAGTTTGTAAGATTTGAACTAGTATCGCGCTCTAATGTACTCCGATATAAAGTAATCAAAACGAAGTATCTGTTAAACTCGAAATACCGGGTTCGTGTGATCGCAGACGAAGGACAACGAAACAGCGTTGCACTGTGCAGCACAGTATGGGCACACGGAAGTGGTGGCACAGCTGTTGCAGTACGGATGTGACCCCAGCATCCGCAACAGCCGGGGAGAGTCTGCGCTCGATCTCGCTGCGCAATATGGCAGGTAAATTCCACCGACGATTTTTCCCTTTTCCACGCTATTTTTTGTTACCTTTGTTTGCACTCTGCTTAACGCATAATAATCTCGCGGCTGTTTGGCCCGACGAGTATGTACGCAATTTGAAATTCGAACGGCTTCAGACTTGTGCCAACCGCGGCCACTGAAACCGTTCGTATAATCGCCCGTACACATTGAATAATCGATGAGCCTGCTAATTGGCTTTGTGCTCCTTCTGTAAAATTAATTGTCTTTTATAGATTGGAAACCGTGCAATTACTCGTTAGTATGTATCCAGAGCTGATCGTGCCCTTGCGGAACTCTTCCTCGTCCGTCATTTTTCCTCACACTCCGCTGCATTTGGCTTCAAGAAATGGTCACAGGTAAGTCTCTATTTTTAGGTTTTTCTTGCGTTTGAATTAGCTGCAAATTATTTTATTTATATATATTTAGGGTGTATGTGGAGTATATTTAAGGTGTACGTATGGAACTATTTTAGGTATAAGAGCTATTTTGTTTGGGGTTGTTCAAAGGACTGATGACTTTCGAGACAGTTATACTGTCAATTTCAATTTGTAGATCATGTAGATTATCGTTTATATTCAAAAGAAATAAATTTTCATGTTATCTAATTACCAAGTTATCAAGTTATCAAAGCAATGTATAAGAACATATTTACAAATGTAGAGATTTGTTAATTTGAAAACTTACCATCTACTGTATCATCAAACTGCAAAGTTCGAAAACTTTTAAATTTGCACTAGAACTTTAGAAATGTTCAGTACTGTACAAAGGTTAGAACATTTTTGGAATTTCTTAGAAGTTCACAAAATTAAAGGTAAAGAGTATTGTAACATTTCAGTAGTAGATTACGCCAATCATGATGAAAAGGTGCACTGATAGTGTTCTGTCGATACGTTGTTGGTAAATCGAGCATGAAAAACACGATTGTTGAAAATTCCGTTGGACATATTCGTTCTCAAGTTGCGATTCGTATTATGACGCGTCCAATAACCAGCCACTGTCGTTCAGCAGTTCCACGCTCTCTTTATTTAATCAAGCCCGATGCGATGCAACGCGATGATCGTCGCACGGCGTTTGATCAACACGCGAGGGTGGCGGCTCGCGCGTTTACCGCCGGTGTCCATGAAATCTATTTTATATTGCATTGCAGATCAGGATCGTTGCTGGATTATTCATGACTCGTGGAACCGTAGCGAACTCGTGTACACACTTGGACTTAGCGAACTGGTACACGCGTCGCACGATTAATTTGTGTTTGACATTTCGGGATTGAAACATTACGTTTGCAAATAACATCCCAACTCTTTGATATATTAATTTTCAAACAGTTACCGTTGTCAAACGAACTTGATTACATAATTGGAAGGATCAAGTTTATTCAACCGCGATCAGAAACACGGGCAAAATGTGACGATACATCGTGTGATTGACAAGGAATTATTTAATCGTGTTCAGTTTAATGATCGATGCTCCTGTTGCGAAATTTTCGTTTACAAATGTTAGAGTGAAATGCTTCTGGCAGAAAGTTGATGCAAGTATTAATTATGACGGATTAGAAAAATTTGCTACGAGTAATGGTGATGTGGATGTAGATCATTATTAAAAAACATAATGGTCATAGATCATTAATGGGACTTAAAGTCATGAAGAGGCTGTTGATGTTTATATAATTATAATACTATGGAAAGAATGTCATATTTATGGAACATGTGTGAATGTGTGATATGAACAACCCAAAGGAAGTTGCAGAAAATTGTTTACCCTAATTCAGAAATATGAGTATGAAAGTAATATGTATTAGTTTATCAAAATTGGTACTGTTTGAAAAATGAAGCGTTGAATTACACTCTGCGATTAAGTCAGTCAAGATTAAATCCAACTCACCCTGACCTTGACTAAGCACAAAGATGAGTGTTTGGAACTGAGGAAGCAGGTCAACTTGTTTTTCCACCTGACTGCATGTATGCAGTTCTCGTTAAAATGCATTCTAATACGACATGTACGTTTCAATCGATCGTCGTTGCATTTGGAGAATCTCGTCAGTTTCTATGTCAAATGTAAATAAAATCCTTTCTGTGATGGTATCCTGTGAACCAAGATCCTTTTCATCTAAGGATCCTTCCCTTAGTAACGTAAACTCACGAGATGTTTTACAGAAGATGCGAAGGTTTCTTGAAGTCATCGCGTGAGAATGGGTAAATTTTTCTCCGCGTAAGAGTTCACGCTAATTACCGAGTAATGCGGCTCGCGCATTGTATTCAGGCACAACAATGGACCCGTTTCAGCTAACCATAACGATGTCGAGCCATTTGCAGCGTTACCCATTAGAGCCAATCAGAGAGCACCGCGTTGCGTAATCCCGTCGAATACGATATGTACGTCCTCCAGCTGGTAACTGGGAACCGTCGCAACCCTCTCCTGGTTACACGTTCTATAACCATCATCCTGCTGCCTACCGATTGCCCTCTCGTTCCTCTTCGGGCTACGTGAATGCGTTCGATCGCCGATAGCTCTTGTCCATCCGTGCGAGCATTGCTGGCTGCCTCTCGATTACGGGGATCGTATTAATCATTACCTTCGAAACGTATCGCTCGATGTTCATCGCTGAATCTCCGAATCACGATTGCTCTAGCTGAACACCGTGCTGGGACGTTTGACCCTTTCGTTACAGAGGATGCCTATGGTTTCCCATGCTTCGGAGCCTCGTACGCGTTAGTCCTATTGCTTGCTATGTGTAATTCGGATTAATTATGGACGGTGATTCAGATTTTGATTATTTAGAGATTGTTGGTATTAGGAATGTGGGGATGAGGGTGTGAAGGGGAGAACTAGGAATGTGGACTTGCTGAGATATGTGGATTTGCTGAGATGTGAGGATATGGGAATGTAGACCTAGAGATATGGGGAGTACAGGGGTATAGGGGTATAGAGGTGCAAGGATATAGGAGTGTAGGCATGTAGGGATATAGGTATACATATAGGGGTACAAGAATGTAGGAATATAGGGACATAGGGGTATAGTCATGTAGGGGTATAATCATATAGGAGTATAATGATACAGGAATATAGGCATATGGACATATAGGGGTATAGGACTATAGGACTATAAGGGTACATAGCTATAATAATATTGATGATATAGAAGATATAATAATATACACATAAATGTAGACATAATATAAGAAAGATAGAATATAATTAATATAATATTATAATATAGGGTTGTACAAACATGGAGACCATCGACCTCCAAAGTCCTCGAATTTCACAATTTCTGAATTTTTTAAGTTACCAAACCCAAAGTTGGTTAGGTTAGGTTGGTTAGTTCCCCAGATTTCATCTTGAAACGTCAGTTAAATCGTCCAGTCTTCAATTACATAGCCGTACAGTAACACCACTAAAACAATGTTATAGCTTAATATTTTTGATCCGCTCCGAACATTTTCGATAAATCCCGCGTTTTAAAAGTATGAACGACGTGTCAATGAATGAGATGGTAAAATAGGTAAATAAAAGTGTGAAACGGTGTAACAGAGCGAAAGGTTATTTCGCAACGCGAAAGAATGCGTTATAAACAAAAATTGGCAGGCAAATATCGTAAAAAGGCTCGCTGCGTTCGATCGATTTACTAGTATTTGCACAAATAATTGGCGATTGTTACATCGCGCGGCAAAAATGTTCAGTTAAATAAACGATATTGTAAGCACGGACGTTCGTTATTCGATTAATCGTACCGTTCAATCGGATGATGCAAGATTAACCGGATAATCGGTTACACCGGTGCTGTGCAATTAAATAACGAAAATGAATGTCGGCCTGGATTCGATACAATTCTTTGGACGAATATTTGTATCTGTTCCATGGATCTTTCTTTTCAAACAGATTTTGCTGAATTTTCTGTTCGATGTTTAACAGTCACATAACACAGAAACTACAACAAAAATTTACTGTTAATATAATATTATTATGTAACATATGGGGCTTGAAATTAAATCATCACAATTAATACGCAATATAATGCCGACAGATTATCGAGTCAAATTATACATGTTTATATTCGTCGAACTTTAATAAATTCTATAAAAAAGAAAGTAAGTGTTTGTACAAAAGGTAGCTAAGTCAAAATTTTGTACCATTCTTTATAAAAAGCAAGTGTTCTGAAAGTAGCAAATAACCGATGGCGTTCGCAATCGTAAACCGAATTTCTTGCACGTCCATTGTGCCGTCAACGAGAAAACAAAAAACCGTCAAAATCGTTCAGTCATTCGCGAGAGCGAAAGAACCAACAGTGCTCGTTTCCACGAGTCCGTTGGAACGGGAATTGTATTTAACGCTTTGCTCGACCAATTCATTCTCATTTAACATCGCGGCGTCACGTCCATAATCCGGCTGGTAAGCCTTTAAAATAATCGACGTTGTTGGGACGAGTGGACGGCAGGAGAGGACAGAGGGTGAACATGGCTCGATCGAAAATCGTTCAGCGATCGTGAATCGCCGCGAAACGGCAGTCACATTGTAATCGGGTATAACGTCGGTTTTTCTATGCAGCCTCGCAGCCGGTAATCGCTTTATCTGCCGCTCGCTGCTTATAATGCGATCGCGTCGCGATACACTGCCCGATGAATGCATTTTCTGTCGTTGCTGACGCTTCGACCCGCTCCATCCCCTGTATTCGGTTTTCATTCCTAGTCGATCGAGGTCATCCTAACTCCGCTGATAACAGTTGCATCCAGTGAGAATACCCTCCCGGTATATGGCCACCTTATACATACAATGATATCGAGTTGACGGTATACCGCAAAATCACTTTTATCCTAGTACTCTTTGTAGATTAATCAACGTGAGAAAATTCTTACATTGTGAACTGAATATGAAGTTACTTATTATGAGGCAAGTACTGAGAGCACATTAAGCATTTTACTCTACGTCTGTACCTATCACATCCAAATTTATAAATTTTGAAGAACGAAATTGTTTTTATGTTACAAGAAAATAAAATACATGTTTTGTATGTTTGACTCAAAATTTAATATGAAATATTGCAACGTGCTATGAACATGAAGGATGTATAACATATTATTATTATTGGACCAAGTAATTCTTACTTAATTGACTGTTCTTTTATTTTATACCCAAATCTCTATATCCCCCAATATTCAAAATCCCCAAACTGCTAACTTAGCAATTTCCCAAATTTTTCGAAAGGGGCCTCAAAATATTTGAAGTGTCGAGATTTCCCAGGTAAAGCACCGACAGATGTTGATTTCAGAAGCAAAACACGGTACTGGTTTTATCGAGCGAATTTTGATCGAAAAGCATGGTTCGCGTGAATCGTGTCTCTGAAGTTGATATAGCAACAGCAGGGATGCGGTGCTTTGAGTACGCTTGTATATACACACGCGTATGCTCGCGGTTCTCGCGTGTTCCACGCTTGTGTACACTGGATATATTTGCCAGCACGGGGACGAGCGTTCTCCATTCGTCGCGAATCCTGGCGAACTAGCTTTGCTTGTTTTCGTTGACACGCTGACTACCCCCCGGTGGTCACCAGTGACCGGTTTCATGGATTTGATTGAATCAAGTAATTACAATACAGGAAAATACATTACGTACTTTACCGAACAACCAGATGATTGTTATTGAAACCTTTTCGTTGCGATAATTGAACCACTGATGTTTACGCCGTTTCTAATATATCGAAATCTGCAAACTTTGATAGACTGCACAAATTTAAGTCCATCAATTACATGATGTTTACTTTTCCTCGATATGTCGTATACGTCATGTATCATGTTGCATATTGATATATCATGTACTTAAGATACGAACGGAGAGATGACCCACTTGCTTTCGATTTTGAAAAGGAGATTCAATGTAATTTTTTATAATAAAGATCAAGTTCGAAGGGATACGTCAAAGATGCAATAGATGTTATTGAACAGTAGCATATAATCAATAAACAAAAAAATGAGGAAATCTACAAACTTATAAGTTTGATATTACCAAAATAATGTTATGAATTTTAGAATTTATAAATTTGCAAAATAAAAATTTTACAATTCTAAAAAGTTCCTAAAAGTTCAGATTTCGCACCCTGAAGCTATAAGCAACCGCAGAGTTTGCCGCTAGTTAATTCAGTGCAGTCCCATACGACTTGTACCGATGAAATTCGGGCAATTCGACGTACCCTCATCCCGTTGATTAGATTGCAAAATCTCCGTCGTCCTTTATGGACAATCTCCACGGTCAAACATCGGCCGGTTGTCCGCGTGTGTGTACGAGCATTTTGAGTGTTTGGACAGGCGCGAAACTATGGTGCCTATGGCGATGCGCGATCGTGTACGGTCGTTTTCGATGTTGGCTGGTCACGGTCCCGAGTGTACACACGTATCCATCCACGTCGAAACGCAACTGGATTCGCTTGTGTACCGATGCACACTGAGATGATTGCGTTCACGCACGCGTTTCACGCGCTCGCCACGGTATTTGGTGGATCCGTTGAATGCGTGGGCGGTCAGATAGAGAGGGAGGTGCGCACAAAGAGACGGACAGAGAATGACAGAAGGGACGAAGGGAACGGTGGAACGGGGCTGGAGTAATGTCTATTATCGGATTCAATATCGGTGCTCTTGGTAAGCCAGTATACAAATACCCCTATGGCAGGGTAATAACAACATAGGTGCACGTGAATCCGATTCCCAGCCACGAATCCTATATGCGACGGATGGCTGCGGTCAGTGCAGTTGCTGCTGCTGCACGCCAACCCGACAGATACAAAACGAAATCTGGGTTTTGTGTGCTGTTCGACGTGCACGCCCGAAATGGGAAATGCGTGCACGCGGGACCACTTTCGGCCAGAGCCACGATCATCCGCGAACCGTTTCTCGATGGCTTTCGTTACCGCCCTGCCCATGGAAATTTCACCTACGAAAGGAAATCGAGTAATGCTTATTTATGTCCCATTTATTACCTCCTACTTCGTTCACCAAATATTCTTTCTCAATATACATGCAAAATCTATTATGAGATAAGTATCTTTTGTATCAGTGGTCACTTACAAGATGGATATTATAGCTCCTAGGTTATACAAGTCAGTCCTACAACGTGCACGTAGAAAGAAGTTGAACTCAAGAAGACAAGTCTAATAGGTCTAATAACCCCCATCCTAATAGTCAGACAATAAACCTATACTGTAGCCACTTCTTTTTTATCGTATTTAATGTTTGGATGTTATTGTGCCAGAGAATCGAGTACATTTGTGCGTTTGTTGCAGAGCTGTCGTGGAGGTTTTGTTAGCAGCAGGCGTGGACGTGAACACGAGGACGTCCGCCGGTACCGCGATGCACGAGGCAGCTCTTTGCGGCAAAATGGAGGTGGTGCGAGCACTCCTGGATCGTGGGGTCGATTTGGGTATCAGAGACTCGCGACAGAACACGGTGCTCGATCTTCTAGGACAGTTCCCGCCGCACGTCACTCAGGACATTACCGCGGTGATAAAAAGTGCGTGTCGTTCACGTCGCCAATCTCGTGTCTCGGTAACGCGTAAACGAGCCGTGCAATTAACCAGGCGAAAAACCGACGCGTTTCATTACCGTCAATCGTTCTGTACAAGTAGGTGACGATACCTTGTGTTCCACGCTACTTTCGATCCAATTTTCGCCTCGTTAAATGTCTTTAACGAATTTGCATGATCGCTTTCCGACACGATAAAACTTAACGCTATAGTACGTGACGACGCGTGAAATTTTATTGGTATATTTGTCCAATATACGTGTCACGCGTTCCTTCATTTTTATCTCCTTCATCGCGGGTTTCATATTGTTCGTGTGTTGAACCAAATTAATTTCATATATGCTGATTTATTATGTAAAATAAATACTTGTTTTTAAACATTTTTAAACGAAACAAAGCTTATAAGATTATAGGGTTGAAATTTCTGTACTGGTTGCAAAATATTTCACAAGTCACGAAAATGTCAGTTAAGTACTGACAGTAAACACACGATGATATCCTAACTTCACTGTTGTAATTTAATTTTTGTCTGAAACATAGTTGTGATTAAAAATAATTGACAAGATATGCTAAAATTTGTTACGCAGAAAATTTACAAATAACTGTAGCAGATCCATCAATTATCCATTCATATTTATCGACATTCTCATGTAACCACTCTATAAATACAAAACTTGTTAAAAGCTGGTACAAGCTGTTTGCTAACAAGTTTATATATTTGTTTAAAAGTTCATTTATTTGCATTCTTCAATTATGAACACGTTTCCCGTGCATCGATCATGTTACACGAGGGTCTATCTGAAACTCACTGATAGTAAATTATAATCGCAAACAACGTATATTGAACAGGGCATAGGTCTTCCTCTGGGGTGGAGAGCGACGCCGACAGTGAAAACTTGCCACCTATTCCGGTGCAGGGAGGCGATTCATTGGGCAGCCCTTACGAAAACGTTCGCCCGGGGGATGATCTCTCTCCGGCGGAAGGGACGTCGCCCACTCAATGGCAGTTCTATCATAAGCCTCGAGACGACGATCGCCGTGTTTCCGGCACTTCCGTTATGTCTTTGTGAGTATCGTTTTTTACCCCCTTTTCACTTTGCCGCGTGTCCGCCTTGCTTGCAGTTCTTCTTTCAAACGCTGCTCGTAAATTCTTTTACAATGTTGTGCATTGCTTTCAGCAGTCAAATTCTTCTTTTGTATAATTTATATTGATTCTGATATGTCAAACTCGCGAATGTGCGATTTTATCTTGGAATGGTTTATCTTGAATTTTAGCATAATGTTAGGTACCCAATAAAGTTATTTCTAGCTTTTTTAAGTATTAAACCACAAAGAGAAAACAAAGAACAACCAAAAGAATACGCAATAAATATTACACTATAATTTATAAGTTCGATCAGTTGTGGATCAAAATATTTCACTCTTGATGCAAAGAGAGCTTTATCGGTTACCTGATATTATCACGATATGCACCTCACAACAGAACCATCGTTAGGACATCTTGAATAAGTTACATAGAAGTGACCCGACATTCAACGCGTTAATAAGGAGGATACGGGTCACGGAAAGTCTCCCAGGTTCGATCGCGACAATCCGCAAGCTCCTCGACAAGATACACGCATCGATAGACGGGGCCATTCGCGTTTCTCATTCCGTACAGTGCATCGCGAAAGAGGAAGAAGAAAGAGCAACAATCGGGCTCAGCCAGCTAGCTGTTCCCGTATTTATGTTCATCCCGGCGTCATCTTCGCCGGGGAGAAAAGAATATCGCGTGGGTGCATCGGATAAGAGCGGAGGCCGGTAATATTTTCTAGAAAGAGCAGATACGTATAGACGGCCGCGTATAAACCCGTGGCGGCTTTAATATAGGAGATGTTGGGGTAAACAAAAGCGTAGACGTGGACCGGGGCACACGGAGAGTGAATGAGCGAGTGTTGGCGAGCGCGAGTGCCCTCGGCTGATGATGGTTAACGGTAGCGTTAGTACCGATGCCGGTTGCACCAGGACGGGGCTGGCCAGAGGAGAAGGTAGAGGAGGTGGTGGCGTAGGAGGGAAGCTTCTCGACCGTGGACCGAAAAGGGAAGCTGAAAGTGGAGGTGGAGGAGGTGGCGCGGCCGCGTGTAGCCCCAGCGCGTTAAGCACCGCTTGGCTTGGTTTAATTTTCCTGATGTAGGCAGGCGATGGTGGGTCCGACCGCCTCGTTCACCCCTGGGTCACCCCCTCGTATCACCCCATTGGTACATTCTCTCTCTCTCGTTTTCTCTCTCGCCCTCTCTTACGGTTTCTTTGTGTGCGCACGTGTGTCGGTGTTACCGCTAGCAGCTAAACGCGACTGGTTGGCTCGGACAGACAGAGAAAGAGTAGCTCGGCCGAGTAAGAGACTGACAGAGGGAAAAAGGTAGATGTCGAAAGAAAGACAGAGGCAGCGAGAGAGAGATATAGAAACGAACCGAGAGAGAGTGGTAGCAGCCTCTCCTCGCCTCCACCGTCAATGTTTGACGTCGGTAGCCGTAGCTCGGCCGCCTCGAGATGAATCCATCACGTTAAACAATGTAAATGTTAGCCCGTCTCAGCATAAAACTAATAACCATTGCTCTCTCCCTCGTTCTACAGGCATGGCCTCCAGTCGCGGTTCGCTGGCTCCTCATTCACCTCTGCGCCCGCTTGTTTCTGCTCCCGTCTGCTCCTTCGGTCTTCTCTCTTTCTGTTTTCCTCGTACGCCTCCGGGACCTCGGTCTACGTGACCTCGTTAAAAAGTCGCCGCTTGTCGTGCAGGACATCTCCGGCTAAACTTACGTATTGTCAAGAGGAACGACGGATGCTCGAGTACCATTCTTTGCCCCGTTGTCCGACCGATGAGCGCGCTCGCTGTTTCTTCCCTCGAGAATCCGCGTTTCTTAAGTACCGCTTAAGGTATTTCGTTGAAATAAATCATCTACGGAGAGATGCACGGAGGTTTTCAAAAGACGACAACTTCGAGTGCTTTGTCGTCGACGTTAGCGATAATTAAGAGACCAGGACGTTTCGCTGGTGGGCAGATTGTTCGCGCTGTGCTGGCTTCGCTGATGAATACCGGCTGTTTCGATATGCTTTCGATATGCCTGACAAGTTGGATACGGTGTCTGACGGTAGATGCCGTATTACAAATTTCAGTGAAGACGATCAGAACGGGGGACCAGTGAACGGAGTACGGAGGACCCTCCAGCTGACAGAGGACTCCGACCCCAGTTCCGTCTTCGACAGCGTCTTTATGTCCATGTCCGACACTCTCAACTCTATAAATACTCTCGAAAGTTCCGATCAAACTCCTGACGACAAACCACAAAACACTACCACCGACAGAATACCATTAGCACAACGCGACACCACACGGTAATCACATGCAACCATTCCCCGATACGTATGGTAGCGCTTTCGACTCTTGCGGTAACAAGTCCCCTACCTTTCTTAACTCTTGTGTCAACACTCGGAATTACCCACGTTGTTTGACCAACTTGGGCTACTCAGGTACTCGTACGACCAATTCGTTCTCGCTTTCTTCACTGTGCTTAACCTGTTTGAAGTTTGTCTTTCATGCTTTTGCTATAAGAATATCTTTAAAAACGAATGATCAATTAACAGCTGTAATGAATCTGTAAATAGTTACTCGGACATGCGAATGTTGACATAAGGGTTAATTTAACGAATGCAGTGTTAACTCTCCATTGCATGTGTTTTTAATTCTACACAAACATTTTTGAATTTTCATAAGAACAATATACCAATAAGAATTTTAACAAACAAGAATTTTTGTAAGGCAGAAAAAGTTATCTACAAATTCAATAACAACGAAATATGTAGTTTGAACAAGAGTTCCAGGGTGCATTATATTATGTAGCATTAACAGCGTAATGCAACAGAGGGTTAATATATTAATATTAAGTTGTATATTGAACAAAGCTTTATCTAATGATTGTTGAGGTTTCAATTAAATCGAACAGCGTTTATCGTTCAAAGTGCTACTGAAAGTGACGCAATAATTAAACATAGTGGCTGTAGAGAAAAGCGAGAAAAGAAAAAGAAAAGCTGTAGCAAAGAGGAAAGCATTAGCAATTCCAAGTTAATCGTGAATTGGTCCCGTTGAGACGTTCAGTTTGGTTGCACAGGGGTTCCGACAGCGGATTGTACCAAACGCCACCGGTACCCCGAGGAACAATGGAGGGTAGCTTCGTGTCGGAGGATCTGTCCTTGACATTACCCACGGGATACGGGGGTGGCAGGGAGTCGGACCAATTGAGCGTTTCCTCGTCCTCGAGCGTCGGTGGACCGAGCCCTCGGGACCGGCGTTGTTTGCCCAACGATTCCAGCGCCGCCGGGATTTACTTGCCAATGGCACCCTTGTCCAGTTCTCTTCATAGCCCTGCCTCCAACAGTAAAGTCTCGGTAAGAACGAGTACCTTTATCGCCGACAAGTCACCCACTCTCGCTGACTTTGCGAGGGATTGTTATCGATGATGGGATCAAAGTAGCTCTATCTTTCAAAGTGTTCATAAAAAAGAAGCAATATCAGCAGTGGAACATTGGTCCCAAACTTTTAGTACCGTGCTAAAACAATTTTCCATTTTCTAAATCCCTAAATTTTCGTATTTTATCTGTCATAACATGTTGCCACCATTAACAAAGCATCTATTTCACTTATCTCAAATCTTAATTACATTAGTGCGTTCTGAATTACAAAAAATTGCGTTCGTTCAAAGAGAAATTTTGTTAAATAATTCATGAACAAATAAACACACGATATTTAATTCATTTGATTCGAGAATTCTCAGTCGCGCAAAAATCAGAAAATAAGAGGTTAAAGAACTAGTTTTTCATTGTAGAACGTCGTCGGTGAGATTTATTTGGCGAATTGTTTTTCCTCGTGCTTTTTGTCTCTATATTTCCCTTCGCTGCTGTTGTAGACTGGTTCTTTTTTAGCGCGAAGAATCGTTCCGTATAACGTGGCAATGAATCATCTCTGCGCCTTACAGTTCGTTAACGTGGACAAATTGATCGCGGGTTAATTGGCTCGACAGCTCGACGTCGGCTGCATTTTTCCTTCGAACGAGATGGCTTCTACGGAAACTACCGCGATATCGTCGGACATTAATTTCTAAAGATAACTAGAGATCGTACAATGCCATTTGTTGTACATTAATTTACTCCCCATGTAAATCGTTCTATTAACTTTTTCGTCATAAGCTATCAAAAGTATCACTCTCATTAATTAACAGCTGCATAACTGTTTCAATTCTGTAAAAAGATACGTTTTTGAACTTTTATAAACAGCAAGATCTTAGAAGAAACAATCGGTGTTTCAATCGGAAAAAGTCCTTTTCCAACGCTAAAATTGGTCGTTTTGTACGATCCTCCTTTGTTCATTCTTCATCAAAGAAATTGAACCTGAATTCATATTCTTTCTGCTTTGAATAACCGTCACGGATGATTCGCCGAAAAAAGTTACTTTCATCCGCGTATCTAACTTGAGCAACGAATAGACCAGAGTAGGTCTGTTCGTAGCAATATAGCACTGACAAGTGTGAATTTATATTCTATAATCTGTGTTGTCACATTAGTCATTTTGGAAGAAATGAGAACAATGTTTTGCGGTGAATGATCCAAAGTGAAAACATGTAAATTCGGCTAGTCTATATTTATCAGTGCTGTCTCACTCCGAATGAATCACCTATTCAATTAATCAGAAATGGGCAACAGCCTCTTCACATTTTGGATGAAACGTAGATGAAAACAGTTTATTTCGTGAATCATGCGCGGTGATCCAAAGGGAAAGATGAAAATTCGGCCGATCTATATTTGCTACTGCCGTTTCGCTCCGAATCTCCGCAATCCGTCAAAAGTAGAGATTAGTTCTGTCCACTAGTCACCTTGAACGAGACCAGTGTTCCTCGATGAATCATTCGCGATAGTCATCCAAAATGTGGAGCTAATTCCTCTCGATCGTGTCACCTTTCATCGAACGTAATACCCACAAAATTGGGCATGGTTTCAGCCAACGCCTCCGAAAAAGCCACCCAGACGCAACCTGTCCGTCTCTCCGACGCACCTGCAGACCCAGATGTCGTTGTCGGCCGATTGCACGCTGGGTCCAAGCAACTACGAATACTTGTTCATGGCTCGAAGCGGGGCACGCAGCCACATCGATCTGGAGCAGCTGCAAAAGCGTCGGGAACAATTACGTCACGTGACGAGAAGCGTGGACCAATACGTGGAGATGAAATCGCGTGTGCCGGACGGCGAAGAGAGACGAGAGACGAACGTAGAGCCTGTCGCGATCACGTCCATCTACGAGAACAGACCGATCAAAACGTTGAATCCTCGACGGAAGTTACGCAGGCACGCGTTCGAGAATTACGAGGCGGAGAGCAGCCCGTGCGCGGACAAGTCGCCCTGCAGCGAGACGGATCTGTTTGCTCAGGAACAAACGTTCGTGTCGAACGCCTTCCTCACGCTCAAGTCTTCCCAGGAGAGTCTGCTGGACGAGAAACGGGACACCGTTGACGAGCAATCGGTCCCCGAGGGACGCGAGGCGACCGACAAGCGCCTGAAACGAGTACAAATGATGTTACCCACCAGTCCCACACATTACGCCCAACCACCGACGCCAGATCATCCTCCGCCGTCCGCGATGCAGGCGGAAAAGTCTATTCACGAACGGATTCGTCCGTTGAGTCAGGTAAGTCCAGCTTCGTTGTGATGTCGAATCTGCTTGAGAATTTTGGATAAGCTTGAAATAAGAACGCGATAAGGTTGCATACTGTGCAGAGATCGAATGAGACCGAGATGGATTGGTCACTGTAGAACACAACTGCATCAAGGTTCATTTGTATCATTCTCTGTCTCCTCTTCTGATCTCTGCACAGAAGACTTGGTTGGTTATAGAAGGTATAAGACGTAACAAGACCCAAACCGATCCCACGATTCGCCGTGATGATCCGAGGAAAGCAGTCCAATCGTATCCAGAGACTCGATCACCATAAGAAGTCCTAAAGGCGTTCGCGATTCGTCGCACGTTACTCGCCGAGGCGTAAGTTCGCGGGCGTTCAATCTTGCACCCAATCATTCGCGATAGTCATCCAAAATGTGGAGCTAATTCCTCTCGATCGTGTCACCTTTCATCGAACGTAATACCCACAAAATTGGGCATGGTTTCAGCCAACGCCTCCGAAAAAGCCACCCAGACGCAACCTGTCCGTCTCTCCGACGCACCTGCAGACCCAGATGTCGTTGTCGGCCGATTGCACGCTGGGTCCAAGCAACTACGAATACTTGTTCATGGCTCGAAGCGGGGCACGCAGCCACATCGATCTGGAGCAGCTGCAAAAGCGTCGGGAACAATTACGTCACGTGACGAGAAGCGTGGACCAATACGTGGAGATGAAATCGCGTGTGCCGGACGGCGAAGAGAGACGAGAGACGAACGTAGAGCCTGTCGCGATCACGTCCATCTACGAGAACAGACCGATCAAAACGTTGAATCCTCGACGGAAGTTACGCAGGCACGCGTTCGAGAATTACGAGGCGGAGAGCAGCCCGTGCGCGGACAAGTCGCCCTGCAGCGAGACGGATCTGTTTGCTCAGGAACAAACGTTCGTGTCGAACGCCTTCCTCACGCTCAAGTCTTCCCAGGAGAGTCTGCTGGACGAGAAACGGGACACCGTTGACGAGCAATCGGTCCCCGAGGGACGCGAGGCGACCGACAAGCGCCTGAAACGAGTACAAATGATGTTACCCACCAGTCCCACACATTACGCCCAACCACCGACGCCAGATCATCCTCCGCCGTCCGCGATGCAGGCGGAAAAGTCTATTCACGAACGGATTCGTCCGTTGAGTCAGGTAAGTCCAGCTTCGTTGTGATGTCGAATCTGCTTGAGAATTTTGGATAAGCTTGAAATAAGAACGCGATAAGGTTGCATACTGTGCAGAGATCGAATGAGACCGAGATGGATTGGTCACTGTAGAACACAACTGCATCAAGGTTCATTTGTATCATTCTCTGTCTCCTCTTCTGATCTCTGCACAGAAGACTTGGTTGGTTATAGAAGGTATAAGACGTAACAAGACCCAAACCGATCCCACGATTCGCCGTGATGATCCGAGGAAAGCAGTCCAATCGTATCCAGAGACTCGATCACCATAAGAAGTCCTAAAGGCGTTCGCGATTCGTCGCACGTTACTCGCCGAGGCGTAAGTTCGCGGGCGTTCAATCTTGCACCCTCGGCTGCGTCTCGGAAGCACGACGCGTGCGTGTTGCGTCATGGGCCGAGACGTCAGACGGTAGCTAACGCGTCGGCTCGTGAAAGTATTGGTCCAGACTGTTGGTATTAAGAGGCGCATAGCGCCAAGAATGGTTTATCGTTGATGGAGATCGACGAAGCGAGTTACGCTCGTGACCATGTCGTGCTTCTGGCGGAAGAATCGCGCGGCGAGAGTCTCGCAAAGGACTCGATCGAGGCCGGTAGCTCGAGCCGAAAGCTTGGACAGTAGATAAGCAGTCGACAGGAGGATGTCTTAGCGGGTTACGTTTAATATACAAGCCGTGTTTGATCTGTGATGCGATTTGCAAGGAGGTCGAGCCGGCTGCAAGCCTGTATCGCTCGTTTCCCGCCGTTTGCTGCGTCATCCTGTGATCGTTCTGCTGTGAGACCGACTCGGCTCGCTTCTCATCCGTTGCCGAATAGATATCCATAACATATACACCGCTCGCTACCTTCTATTCCTCCCTAACCCTCTTCTACCCTCCCGCTACTTCCTTTCCGTTTGGCTCTGTAATACGCGTTCCCAATCCGTGTCTTTCAGCGGTTATACACGCTCCACGGAATATCGTACAGCGAGTATGTATATCATTCAGCGGGAACGACGACAAGACGCTTTTGGTACACGCGTGCGTGTGTTCGCGAAAGCAGGGTTTCCTTCGCCGTGTGGATAGAGTAGTTAGTGCCTGCAGATTCACGGATGCCGGATACGACGTTCGAGCTCCGCTTTTTGGCAGACATCTACCAGAGACCTCTGTGTATCGTAGCGAGCCGTTCGCGGTTCGGAGCACACGAATCGACGAAGAAGGATGAAACGAAATGGATATGCTCGTTCGAAACCGGAAGGAACTTGTAAGGAAGATGTTGCTACACGTGTTTTCGGCTAATTGAGAAAGCTACGTGCAATTCCGTTGGACCGGATGACCGTGCACGGGTGCAGAAGTGGCAATCTAGCCGGGTAGTAATTGGCATGTGGCACGGGGTCGCGACCGGGGGATAACGAGTGAAACCCGATTTCGATTGACGCTTGGAAATCTCGTCAACGGCCACGGGACACGAGAGTACCCGTGTTTCGGCACAATTTGCCAGTCTGGAATGTTCGACAATTGCAGATACTTCTGATCTGCTTCGTAGCATATAGGAATGATCGATTTGATGTTGCGATTCGGTATTATTTATTTATTGAAATGCCTCGGGTTCATAATTTGAAAACTATGACTAAGTTGCTTACTCAATATGTACTTTTGACATAATGTTATAACTAACATTACAATAAATTCAACGACCCACATTATAACCTTGAAATGACCTTGAATTTGGAAGCACTATATAAATTTTTTCTAAAGAAAGTAAAAGAACATGAACATGTGTCAACGTTGATCCCAGCCGAAATAGAACTTGATTGCTTGTGCACGCAATGATTAACATATCAATGAGAGGTACCCTCGAGGACTTTAACGAAACTTCATTTATTTTATTGTGACATATGTAACGAGAAAAATAAGAGAAAAAGCGATGATACCCCGACGACTCGAAAAATATTCGACGGCATCTGCAAGAAAGATGTAACATTCGAGGTATAATAAAATAAGCGCGCAGTTGAAAAAGAAGTTGGAAGTAAAAATTGCAGAACGTTGAATCGGTCGAGGAAGCGTGTTGAGGTGTTCACAGGGTCGGTCGACAAACGAAACGAGGCGTCGTTTCAGCGATCGTTGAAGCTGGCATCGGTGCGCAAATCGCGAAAGACGAAGCTGCCAGATGCGATTCGACGACGGATTCAAGCGGGTATCGTGCCTTCTAGCAAAGGCGAGGAGGAACATGGAAAAGAGGAAGCGTGGCAGCGAGAAGCCGTGAGAGGAAGGACGCGGAGGAAGGTGGTACCGGCTCACGGATGGTTGCTTCACACCCGTCAACTTCCGCGGATCCAGCAGAGCGGCAGAATGCAAGACGCCGACACCCTTTGAATAATGAAGCCCTCGGCTTCTATGCCTGTCTGACTTCTCCTCGTGAACGCTCCTTCTCTTTGCCTTGTCTTGCTTTTACCTTGCCTTCACCTGCCTTCGCTTCGCCTCCTTCTTGCCTCGTCTTACGCGCCGACAGAGAGATCTACGAATTTCTAGAGACGCTTTCCGGCTATACGCCAGACAAGATGCGAGGAACCGCGTCCGTCTCTCGAGTCTCTGGCGTCAAATTTTAATTGCGTTACGACGATCTGCACCGTCACCGAATCTTCTCCTTCCGTTTAAATGTCGCCAGTCTACGCGTAAACGCGTATCGGTGACATGCACCGCGCACATTCTCCAACAGAATCAGTTCTCTCAGCCGTTGCTGAAATCGTGGACCGTCCTTTTAAGGGTCTGTTTCTCTTCAAAGGGCGTCAAGTATCGTTTGCAAGCTTAGGACGGTTTTAATCCTGGTCGTATATGTCTTAGGTACCTTTGATGTTGGGTATATTTTTAAAATCTTGGTATCTAAATTTGTAGGATGTAGAATTTTAGAATCACATACACGTTAGCATTCTTGCTTGATTTTTTATAGAGATGAGGCTTTTGAACTTTCCACCGTTCGATATGGTTGTCCCTTTTGATCAATTCGGAGCACCAAAAGCTTTGCAATCTTTAGACCGTAATTATTAAACAATAGAGAAAATAAGAGAGTACAATGCAGCCAATCGCGACAGACAATGCAGTTCATCAAGAACGAGCTTTTAGGAAAAAAATATACCGGGATTTACGTGCCGGCAGGTATACAAACGAAGGTCCCGCGACATGGAAACGGAAACCGACGAGGATTTATTGCAGTTTCCGGCCGGTGGTTCCCTGGACGCGTCCAGCGGATCGTTATCGAGCGTGTCTCTGTCCGACAAGAGCATGTCGACGGACAACGTCGAGGAATACTTCGGGGATGTGCCGTTCGCAGGTAAACAGCAACGCACGCTTGGCTGCACCGCATGACGCTTCTTTCTGCCCACGTGTACATGCATAATCGTTGTGTTACGTCTTTGTTTCTTCTTATTTTCGTCGTGTGCCTGACGGCGACGATCGTTTATCCCCGGGGGAACGGATTAACGTTGGTTTATATCATTCGCGCGGACACGAAATAATTACGAGACGATTTCGTTCAGGCAATTAAAGTAACATTTTATGTTCATCGGACATATGTTAAATATCACGAGGTACGAGAGACAAAAGGTCACATATTTGATACAATCTAATAAGTACATATGAGTATCCGAAAATCTTAATTATTTTCGGAATGGATGTTGTCGAAAATCATCAAATATGAATGTACTTATTCTTTGGATTTATCTAGAAGTTGGTTAAAATCAATAAGTCCATAACTGTGACCTCGGTAGATCATTTTCGAACGATCTAATCTACGTAACTTTATTATCAAATAAAAATAATAAGAACCGTAGTAAATTTTTAAGAACAGTATTGAACACTGTTTAGCACACGAGCACCACAATAATGATAAAAGTACAATTGGCGTTGTTATTTTACTAACAACCTGACATGATATTACAAAATGAAATATATGGGTCACGACCCATAACTTTGCCTGAACATAACCGTTCCGTACTTATTAAAAAATAACATGAATATCCGAAGAATGAAAGTCATCATTCTTTCTAACGCCTTATCGAAATGTATACAGGAAATCGTTTCGGATTCGAAAGCAAACTGAGGTTGAATGTGCATGATTTTTTGTACATAACGTACAATGTAACGCGTCGATAAGGTGTTATTTATGGGTGCTGTCACGCACAGATCGTAGTCTACGAATGAGACCCCATGGGTGCCCCACGAATGTCGTTTGCGTTAGGGAGATGCGTAAAAGGCCCCATTCGCGACGAATGTTGCTAATAAAAAAAAAATTGTCGTTCAATGGCGACAGCTTCCTTCTGCGAATCATTGTTTTTATTTTTATTATGTACTTATGCTCCTGTGGGAACTATGGCAACAGGAATGAGCTGATTTTTGCGACGGTCGGACACTTTTTGAAAAGCGTTCAAAATTTTCTCCTTCGGTTTCCCGCCATTTAATTAGCATAAATGGGTTTTCGCAGTACTCCATATATTTTAATTTCATATCTCACAAAATTCTATTTTATCGAAATTTATTTAGTTTTGAATTAAAGCACGTACAGTGTTGCGTGCGCGTAACATCGAACGCGAAAGGGTTAAAAGGAATAAAAAGAAGTAAATCCGGAGAAAAGCGGATACCCGATTCACGAGTATCCTATTCATTTTTCCGTCGAGGACGAAACGCGTGGAACGAAGAAAACCGCCTCGTCGACACGTTGATGATAAAATCCGTCGACGTCGGATTTCAATCTTTGCGCACGCGAAACGAAAGACGTGCGGTGCAAGCGGAATCCTGTTTGCGGAAAGAACTAACGATCGCCGCTCGTTACACCGTTCTGTTCCATGTTAAACACCGTTTATCGCCGACGTGGTCGCACGCGCTATTTTCGCGGATCGAAATAACACCGGAAGCTGTCGTCTTTTAGATCGCCATACGCTCCATAGGGGTGAAATCGGCGCAGTCGGTAGCATAGAGCTAGATACTTTGCCAATATATTAAGATTAGAGTTCGAATGGTTCCTTAGGTTATTGATAACCTATACAGAGTGGGTTTGAAGATGGCTTTCGTAGAGTAAGCAAAATGGAGGAAAAATATTTGACGATTAAAAACATTTGGTGGATGGAATTTTATTTGCAATCTTGTTAGCATTTTATTACTTTCAGCAGAGTATTAATATTTCAATGAGCAAATGTCTAATAACTGAAACTTTAGTACTTAATTTTTTATGTATTTTATTACACAGTATTGAAAATGGATTTATATAAAGATGGCAAAAGTCTCACAAGTTGAAATAATATTAGAAGTTTTATTGTACCTTCTACACTTATGTCTAGTTAGCACTAATGGCAAGGATCTTAGAAAGGCTAGGAGCCTTGAGAAATCTAGAAGTCCTAAGGAATCTCGATTCTAGGTAATTTATCAACTGCAAAATAAATAACATTGCACGACAGATATTTCTTTTTCAACAAACTCGTTTTTACACTTTTAAAAATTATAATATTTTTTTCTCCATTTTACTTCCATTATGGAGATCATCTTGGTCAGATGTACTCTGTATAGTTAACTGTGATGTACATATCATACGTATACAGGCTGTTGGAGGAAACAAATGAAAATTAAGTAATGTATGTTAAACAAAATGTAGTATGTTTTGTTGCTATAATATCATAAGACTTTGTCAGAACTATTGTCAGAACTACTTTGTCAGAAGAGAATATGATTTTCTAACTATTTTATAATATTCTGGATTTATTTTCATGTGTTACATTTTACATAATACTTCCATGATATATTTTTTATTTGTACAAGGTTAATTTTATCTAAGTAATGTTATATGTATATTATAAAATATTTTGTTAAAATTTGTTCATACATGAAAATGATCAATATTTACCTAAAAAAAAAAACAATAAAAAATTAACTGTTTGAATGATACATATTTTAGAATTAGAAGAAAACGAACTCATCTCTAATGTTACTAGACAATATTAAACATGTAATTCTATTTAAACTTCCAGTTTAATTTTCAGCTTCAAACTCCAAAAAATCAAAGGTAACAATTACCCCTTTTTTACTTTTTTGAAAAGCTTCTCCCTCTATCAACACCCTGTATACGTACCCCGTGCGTATAACTGTATAAAAGTTAATCGAAGATTATATCAAATGTTTTATCGATTGTTTATTTTCTTTTTGAATAGAGTATACGCTATATTTTCTACACGATTACCAGCTATATCGGTGATTTCGTTGTGTAAATACACTGTCCCACTTAAACGAGTCTCGATGTACTGTAAGATATAATTTTTAACCGTTCAAGTATAAACGTTCGTTATATCGTATATATTCTTTACGTAGTTTGTCGATATTTCCCTCTAATTATGTATCATGTATCTTGAAAGATGTAAAACTAGTGTCGAGTGTACAATAACGGTCAAGATATTGTATAGTAAATGATCCTGAAGAGGTTATTCGAGAATAGTTCTAGCTTATCGTCGTTGTAGATCGCAAAGAAAGCTATACCTGAGCGAAAGTATTCGACGAATGGTTATTGTAACAGTGAGTGCAATTTATTGCTTTTATCAGAAAATCGTGGATAAATTTCTTTCTTTTAACATTCACTACTTCATATAATACTTTCGAGTATTATTCAAGTATTATATACATTCTCAACAGTATTTATAATCTTTAATTACCTGTACTTTATGGTGCAATTTTACTTTGTAGGTCCATATTTTTGATCAACATTCAGAATTTAATTTAATAAACACGTATATTATAGAGATGTTAGATATAAAACATAATTTTACCACGTTTGAATTTTCAACGATTCGACTGCAGATAATACATGTTGCAGTATTTTTGGTTAAGAATATCCACGATATTTTAGATTAAGCACTTAGTAGATTAAGCATTTTGATTTGTTACGTTCTCCATTCCTCCCCGATGTATACATAGTTTATTTTGTGATTGATTTTTATATTTTATTTTATGTTAAACGCTTCGTCTGGTTATTGTAATCGCTCGACGAGCCATACGTATTAAAAGAGTATATATAGTTAGTTAGATGGTACAGTTAGACGTTAAAAGTTAACTGCGATTATATCGTATGCGTTATATATCGTTGGTGTGCTAATAAACGTTATTTGCTGCTATGTATGCGATGTCTTGAATTATTTTGTCGCTTTCGTTCGTCCAAGCTTTCTTTCTCCTTTAAAAAGACATTTTCTGTATATTTTTTTATTTATTTGCGTCGATAAACTCGCTTTTCCGATTCGCCACAGCTTTTATCGCGGAAATACTCCGTTCTTAACGTTAATTAGATCTTGCTATTGTTCCGCGAAACAGCGTCGCAATTAAACATTCCGTTTGAGAACTTTCCGAAGATAATTGTTGTTCTCTTTGACGAAAAGGAAAGGCGAAATTTCCCAATTATCTCCTGATTTCGAGAGACGAATAGCGACTAGTTTTGTCTGCAAATTTCCATACTTGTGTAACGAATTTTTGCAGTATGTTTCTGTAAGATATTGTTAATACGCGTTTGAGTGAAATTGCATGCGAGTGACGCAAACTGTCGACCAGTTTACTGCGGTATCCTTGGTTTTTTTATCCACGTACCGTTAAGAATAGTTCTCTAAACAAAAAGAAAATGGATTAACGCGATCATCGGCCGATACGATTAACTGCATTTCTCGAACGCACGGTAAGTTATCATTTGTATATATATACACGATTATTTCATTTTGATTACATTGCAAACGCTTCGATTTCTCATGTTCACACTCACACCTTTCGTTGTCATTGTATATATCCTGTACATACTGCAACAAATTCACTTCGAGATCACCTCGATTGCAAAGATTAATGCTAACGAGTTTGGGAACGTTGGATCCGTGCAGCAAAATGGTTTATCGGCCGCACTTGTCTGCATGCATGCCCGTTAATGCAGTTTTTATCACCGATTCTGTAATATGCGACGATAATTGTTGCATCCGGCGCGCAATTTTGGATTATCTATATCGTTTTCCGTCACACTCAAGTGCGAATGAAGTACTTTCATATAATTCACATTTAAAAATATTTAATTTATTCATTACAGTCATTGTGTATATTTAACACTTTTCACTATGATTGAATATGTATATCATTTATACATATTGTGTTTATACATCATTTATACTTACTACGTGTAGGACAAACAAAAATGTATTTGTCACATACTACACCCTATTGCAATACATTTTATTGAGGACCCTTTTCTTGTGCAAAAGGTTATAAGTAAGTTAAGTCTCATTCGTAATCAATCAAATGGGTGAAAATTATGAAATTGAAGGA